CCATTGTGTGTATTGGGGGAACCGTAGTCCGTATGGTATGCTAGAACATCTTTAGCTAGGTGATTCTACCACTGTAGGTGAGCTCAAGGCTAATGAGAGTATATATTGGTATAAGTTGAGCCTATGGTTTCATGTCGAGGTGATTTGGAGGTTCAGATGGTAGAGATCATACTAGCATGTTATGTGATATGATGAAATATATTGAGATAACATGGAATTTTATGTGATTAAGGAATAGTTGAGAAATGAAATAAGATACGTGATATAAATGCTATTTTATGATGTTTTAATGATATACTATGTTTACTTCTATATTGTTGCATCTGATAGTCAATAGGAGTGAGTTATTCTGTTATTGAGATTTTTATCTAACCCCCGTGGTTACATGTTTTCAGGACTAGGAAGTGACTAGGGTAATGGAAGAAAGTATGGTTTGGCTTAAGTTGTGAAGTCGTAGACTTTGAGTTGTGTAATGAACTGAATTGAGATTGTATGTATGTGTATAAATGAGTTGCTATAAGGTTGCATGAATAAATTGAATTGAGATTTTGTGAAATCTAGCCTGATTGTGTATATACATGTTGAAATGAATCAAGGGGCTATGATTGAGTATGTTTGAGTTGAAATGGTTGTTTGTGTTAGTGAATCTTAAGCTGAGGGACAAATTATAATGAAATGAGTAATTTGGGAGCTAAGATTATATTATAAATATGAATAGGTTTGAATGTGTTAAGAAATAGCCAAGTAGGCTTAGCATAGCTATGCCACGAAATGGCAAAGTGTGTAAAGTTAATAAATTGTGAAAATTGGCTGTAAAAGGGTCAAATTTTAATATATGAGTAGGATTGTAATTAATTGTTGTCAATCAGGTGTATTAGATCCTTTGGAACTTAGTTCAAGACCTAGTGTGGTCTAATGAGAGTAAGGGATCAATTTCAGTGCTTGGGTATGCAAAATTTTCAAAAAAAGTAACTTTTTGCACTTATGTGTCTAAATTTTGATCGGACCATTAGAATTAGTTAGTATATGAGCTAAGCTTCATGTGGGCACTTGAATCACTCCAATCGGATGTCGTATGTGAAAACAACATACTTTGAAAGTTCATCATTTTTGCCCTCAGAATGACAGCAGAAATTCGGATAAGTGCATCATAGGACATGGTGACATATGCCGTGGCATATAGCATAGAAAGGGTGAGTATGTGACTTTGTGCCACATGCTGTAGTGTACGAACCATTTCTCAATTTTATTTTGTGATGAAATGCATGCCATTAAGATAGGAATGCTAGTCGGTTATATCTACTACATATTAGAGGAGTGCATGATTTGCTTCCGCTATATATTTCTCTAATTATATTGTAAATTGAATGATTTTACAAAATAAGTCTTCGGCCAAAGCTTTTAAAATGAAATTTGATTATTATGATTGATGTGAGGTAGTGGTAACACCATAATTTTCTCCTATACAAAGTGGATAAGAGGAGGTTACACCTTCAACATTATTTCCAACTTTCCCTTCTCTACCATCATCAAAAGGTCCAAGTTCATCCCAATCGATTGACATATTCTCCATATCAATTATATCTTCTTCGACCTCTTCACCTTGATTTTCTTCACCCACTTCATTTTCTTTAGCTACCTTTTGCGTCCCTCGATTACCCTTAACCCCTTTAATTTGCTTCCCTCATCACCTTCATTGTCCCTTCATGCACTACTTTCACTACTTCTACTATCATTACTTATTATACTTTCAACTATTGACCCATACCTACCACATAGCTAGTCTCTGACCTCCTCCTATTCTTGTGTTCTCTTATCAATTTCTTCTAAATATTTTCTTAGAGGAATCCTTGTACCTATTTGACTCACTCAAATGACAATACGAACAAAAAAAAAGTCACATGCAATAGGGGCTTAGACACAATTTCATTGTGATAACGAAATGCCAAAACACAAAAATTTAAATTCTTACTTGAAAAAGTAGGCAACTTACTGTGACTTTGATCCTCAATGACTGATAAGATTTTATTCCTTACATGCACTCTGCTCCTCCCTAAAGTCCCTAATTCAGCCCCTCATTAGTTATCCTCCACCTCGAAACAAATAGATTCAAAGTAAATGTCTTTAGGGTTCGGTCCAATTATGGGTTTGGTTCATAGGTGGGTTGTGATTTCATTACTTGTTTTGAAATAAATCTAAGTCAAACAAGTTCCCATTGCCACATATTGGTCTAGTTAATGAAAAAAACTCTTGCCACATCCTACTTCATTGGTCAACAACGATAATTTAATAGTCAACAATGCTTAAGTTTAATGGCGGGTCCATATTGCACCAATTTTAGAAGTTTAAGGGTAACATTTCACCTAAAAAAAGTTTATGATACTAGCCGCACTTGGGGTAAAAGTTCGTAGGAAAATTTTCCCTTTAACCCTTTTTGAAAATGGCAAGGGGATAGAGGAAAAGAAGATAACATGGATGGTTCTTCAAGCCAAGCTTGACAAGCTAGCCTATATATGCTCAAAACATCCAAGGATCGGGCTGGGTTTGGGAATTTAGAAAATTTTCTCCACTTTAGGCTTATTGCAGTCCCAAATAAGGTTGAAGAAATATAGGCTAAGCCCCAACCCAAATAGGTGTAGCTTAAATATCTAAATTCTTTTTTTTATTATTAATAAAATTAAAATAAGATAAAAACTGAAAATTGATATTGGCGATAAAATAAAATAATATTTAATAATTTAAGTATTCAAGTCATTCCAAATAAGCCTAAATGCTTGAGGTGTTAAGGTTGAGCTTGGCTTTATAAGCTTTTTTATAATTTTGAGTATTTTAAGCCTGATGCTAGTAAACTGGCACTAATAAGCCTGGCCCGCCTAACTACCAGCTCTAAAATGCCACATTTTATGCAAAGTGATTTTGGAATGGTGTGTAGGGTGTAAGTGACATGTGCCCTTCCTTTTTTTTTTTCTTTTCACTTTCTTTGTTTTTTCTTTTCCTAATTTACTATATGTATAAGTTTCATATACTTTTGAAAAAATTTACATCATGATCTCATATGACCAAAACATATTTCATAATTTTCTACAATATTTCAAGCCTCTCATAAATTTTATATGAGTAAACTTAATTTGTAGATTTGCTCCCCATAATATTTAAGTAATTATAATCTAGGGTAAAGTAAAAAATTTGGCCACAAACTATTTTTTGAGGAGCATTTGGTAGCCTAAACTATCAGATAGTACAAAATAAATCACGAACTTTCAAAAATGAAGCATCAGTAGCCCACCATTAACTTCAGTTAACGGACATTATGTGAGGCTCACAATGACATGTGGCACCACACGAGCATGACACATCAGCATGGTAAAAGAGCAAATTTACCTACAACTATTTTTTGAGGAGCGCTGGGTAGCCTCTACTATATATAAAAAAATAAACCACCCAACACCTCCCCTCAATTTTGATTAAACACTGTTTATTTTCATATTTATGAAGCCCACAAAGCATTAATCTTTTCAATCTTCTTGCCTTCGTTTTCAATATAAGCTCCAGAAGAAGATGTTCAATGAGTTCTTATCTAAAGACATTTATAAGAACGATGCCAATGAAGTAAAAACTTGATTTTACTACGCATGAGAGAAATTTAATTCTAGCTTAATTTAGTCATGAATTATTTATTCTACTTTGTTAGTGTCATCTTTATGAATGTCTTCAGATAAGAACTCTTTGAACCTCTTTTTCTCGAGCTAAAATTGAGAATGAAGGCAAGAAGATTGGAGAGGTTAATGCTTTATAGGTCTCATAAATATGAAAATAAATGGTGTTTGGTCAAAATTGAGAAGGTGTTGGATGGTCTACTTTTTTATAGTAGAGGCTACATAGCGCTCCTCAAAAAATAGTTTATGGCTAAATTTGCACCTTTACCATGCTGATGTGTCGTGCCCATATCATGCCATGTGTCATTATGGGGCCCACATAACGTCCGTTAGTTGAAGTTAACGGCGGGTTACTGGATGCTTTATTTTTGAAAGTTCATGATTTTTTTGCACCTTCTGATAGTTTAGACTATCAAATGCTCCTCAAAAAATAGTTTGTGGCCAAATTTGCACCTTTACCCTATAATCTATCAAGTGAGGAAAATAATTTACATAATATCATTTAATCCCACTTAAAGTTATTAACCTTTCTCCTTTTTCTAAAAACATTGCTTGATACTATGTATCTTTAAAATTTAACCATCTTTCATAAGTTATTTTTCCTCAAATAATTTTTTGGCAGATTTCAATTACTGTGAAATAATCCCATCAAATTCAAATCAATTTTTATGAATATCTAATACTTTAAATTTTCACTCAATAATTCAATTCCTAATGATTGTTAAAATTAGGATGTTACATCACATCCTCTAGTAATTTCCCAGCCAATTACACCTTTCATGGGCCCACTTTATTTTTAGCCCAAACCATTAGATATATAGTTTCATCTTATAATTTTTTTATGTTTAAATATTACATAACCATGGATAATATATAATTTAAAGATATGTCAAGGTAATTAATTGTTTATAAAAAATAATTTTTATATAAAAAACTTAAATAATATATATATATATATTACAATAATTTGGCCGGCCAAGTAATGAGACTAGGTCTGCCCCAAAAGTTATTGCTACACTTGTTTTCTACTATCACTTAACATGCCCGTCATCAATTCAGACTAGATGAGTTATATTTACGTGTTGAAACTTCTACGTTAGTAACTTGGTATTAATTAGTTTCACCTAGGCAATTCAATTCAGATGTGTACCTTCAACCACCATTCTATCAAGTTGCGAGAGATAAACTACAATGTAAATCTAGTATTTCTGTAGTTGATATAGTTGAAGATCATAATGATTCATGTCCCCTGGATCTCTATAAAATAGATGCAACTCGATCTGATTTTTCAAACTAAGAAGCTTTGTTTCATCATTCCATCCTTGTTTGAAATAGCACTATACCATGGCCCCTGAGAATCAGCCTCCTCCTCAAAGCCCTAATCCTGATCCAAAGTCGCAATCTCAAATACCAACCACGCCGGATGTTTTTCCTGCAAATTCACGTCCTTCCTCCAAACAGCCCGCCAATAGCTCTCCAGCAACACATAGCCCAACTCCCGATCGGAATTCATTACAGTCTACAAATAACCCTAATGAAACCCCAAGTACTGAAAAACACAAAAGTCCTCTTCCATCTCCTCCATCCCAAGAGCCTCAAACCTTAAGTACCCAAGAAGCACTTCCTCCAAATAGTAAACTTCCAGCCCAACAGAAAACTTGTTCGTCCCAAGAACCTAGTAATAGCCTAGGCACCCAAATTGCGATTAATAAAACACTTCTGTCATCCCAGCAACATGCTACAAAAAAGGAAAACCCTACTCCAGCCGCAGGTACCAGCAAAGTTCATAGTTCAAAAAAGTCCAAAAAAAAGTCACCTCCCAAATAACTCTCAGACTCTGAAAGTTCCTTGACCATAGAATCGTAATGAAGTGCCCCAGATAACGAAGGTGAGATGGCTTGATAAAGAATAATGCAATTGTGGCGTGCGTGTTTGTTTGTCTACGTGTATGTATTTGCATCAATGTATCTTGGCGAATCGATCTCCTTTGTGCTTATTTTGTTGCATAATAAATCTTGAAACTTTGGTCTATCGTAAGTTTATGGACATTGATCCCAAAATTAGTTAATTTATCTTTATCCCTTAGATTGAAAAATATAATGAAATTTACCCCTCCACTACGACCTAAGATGAATTTCCACCTTGCTTGATCTTTAAAGAACATTAATAGGGTTAAAGTATTATATATAGAGATCATATTTTAGTACTGTACGTCTCTCTGTTTTGGATTATTAATTATATTTTTTATAAAGTATTATTAATTATCATTTAGAATTATGCACACGGGTTAAAGAAGTGTTTAAACAATTTAAATTGTATCAAAATCTAATGGCCTAAGTAAATTACTCTTATACTGAAAATATGAAAATATTGTAACATTTAAGTCCCACATATTAAATGGGGTGGCACATTAACTTATATTGGTACGTAGTTCGCTTGCAAGTGGCAACAAGAATTAATGGGCAAAGAGAATTAGTAGTCTTCCATATCAAAATACTTCCTCCACTCCATAGTGTAAGATACTTCAATCGATACGTATCACCAATGTTAAGGAAATATAATTTTTTTAGTAAATCTCACGAAAAGTTGACTTGTTTTTACCAATTTTACCATTATACACAACTAATTAACATCCACAATTTCTCATGCATAATTACTCAAGTTACATTAACTAACGTAGGGGTCAAAATGGAGAATTTTTCTTGTAACCAAAAAACGTTCTATACATTTTAAACCAATAATTACTTGCGGAAAATGTCATATATTATGAGCATATCATGTACCGAAGAGTAACTGTTTGAGGTCATGATAACAGTGTAATAAACTTTTTTCTACCAAAAACATTAAGAATGTTTTAAAATAGTTTATATTATAATAGACATTCTGGTCCTAAATATAAAACCTAGTCAACAAATTAATGGATATTAAAGTTGGTTATTTACTTTTATTGGGGTAAAATGTTCAACTTTTTCTTAATATATATATATATATATGTGTATATGTCCTTTTAATGAGGCTATTAAATGTGGAAGACGTAAGAAAAAAGGAATAACAAAGTATTAAAGTCCTTTATTCAGGATCAAAACAAATATCTCAACCAAGACTTATATATGGGATTGGAAGAAGTATAATTTGATGTTATTTTCTCCATTTAGTCGCGGATGCAGGAGCCTGGGCCTAAGAGGCATAAATTATGCAAAATGTAAAAATAATAAAAAGACAAATTGATACATTTTTTTAATTTCTATAAAAATAATCTAAATTTAAATTGGGAGTTTTCAAAATTTGAAGTAACACGGGTAAAATATCAGAGCCATTCCACAACAAATATATATATATATATATATATATCAAAGACTCAACTTTTATAACGTAAATATGTTTTATCTTTGATAGAATGAGATTGAAATTATAAGGATAATGAGAGCAAATTATCAAAAATTATCATGAATATTTATAAATTTTTTCATGTTGATTTGGGGCATTTTACCACCTTAATTGCATGCAGGTTCACCATTGATAATAAATATAAGACCTAATTGAACTATTTGTTTTAATCCAAAAATAGGACATTTATTTAATATTTTTACTTAGATTATCCTGATTAATTTTACAGTTTTCTCGCTCATAGTTTTCACTTATTTAATACTCTCTCTTTGGGGTATTTTAGGAAACATAATAAACATTTATAGGATTAAATTTACCCCTTTACTACGTACCACCTAAGATGAATTTCCGCCTTGTTTGAACCTTAAATAACATTATAGGATTACACATGGAGATCATATTTTAGTACTGTCTATTTGTTTTAAATTATTAATTATTGTTTAGAATTATGTACACAGGTTAATGAAGGGTTTAATCAATTTAAATTATACCAAAATATAATGACCTAACTAAAATACACTTATATTAAAAATATGACAATACTGTAATACTTGAGTCCCACATATTAAATGGGGTGGCACATTCACTTATATTGGTAAGCAGTTCGACTGCAAGTTGCAATAAGAATGAATGGGTCAAAAGAATCAATCGTTTTCCATTTCAAAATACTCCCTCCTTTCCATAGTGTATGATACTTCCCATTTGTATCATGAATATTAAGGAATTTAATTTTTTTATGAAGCTCATGAAAAGTTTAGTTCTTTTACCAATTTAACCTTTATACACAAATATTTGACACCCAAAATTTCCCATTCATAATTACTCAACCTACATTAACTAACAAGAATTTGTGCACAAAAAGAATCAATGGTATTCCAATTCAAAGGACTCCCTCCACTCCATAGTAGGGACGTGCCTTGGTTGAAGAAAGAGAGGGCAATGGCCCCCATAAAATATAAGAAAAATTTTAATTTATTTTGTAGTTAAAATTAAACTTTCCGTCCCTTTAAAATTGCAACTTTCCCCCATTAAAAATAAATTACCCCATACTCTATTTGAAACTATCAAACATACATATGTAAAAGTATTATTTACTCATATAGTTCTTATAATTAAAAATAATTTGATGATACAAATGAAATTAATATATATTTTTAAACTCCCCATATAATTTATATATTTATTATTTTAATTGAAAATAAATTTATTATTTTAATTTATATATTTGTTAAAACTACAAAATGTTCCATATATTTTAATTAAACCAACAATTATTTGTGAAAAATGTCATATATTATGAGGACATTATGGCCCCAAGGGAGTAACTGTTTAAGGTTATAATAACAATTTAATGCATTTTTGTTAGATATGGCAATACACATAAAAGGTGGGGTGAATTGGGTGCTTAAAGAATTTTTGATTCTTTTAAAATCTTTTTAGTAAAAATATGTGTAAGGAAAAGTTTAAGCAAATTTGAGTTCTAAATTTTGATTGCAAGAATGCTAAAGTAATTTTCACAAGCTTAATATGTGTAAAATCAATTTTCATGCGGAAGTTTAAATAAGAGTATGTAGATATATTACATTCAATTTTGTACACTAAAACATAGCATAAACTATTGTTGCTGGAAATATAAAGAATTAAAGGAAGATAGAGTGCAAACTATGATTTATCTTGCTTTAGTTCCACCGCTTGAGCCTACATCCAGTCTCCAAGCAATCACTTGAGATTTCTGTACTATAACACAAGATTAAGTAGGTACTTGTCACCTCAGTACAACCACATGTTTAGTTTGGGCACTTGTGAGCTTTTATAGAAACTCACTTGACTAGTGAGCTTCTTTTCCCAAGAGAACAACTTCTCTTGATTACAAGGGAAATGTCTCCCTCACCTTTACAATAATTTAGAATATGTAAATCACTTAGTTGAAACTTTCTCTAAAAGCAATGATGAGTACAATGAAGCTCTAATACTCAAATGATGAAGATATAGATGTTATTAGCTCAAGAACAATGATTTTCATATAATAAGAGTATAAAGAATGCAAAACTCATAACTTAATGATTTTAGTTCACTACACAAACTTAGAGGTCATGTAGTCACGACACCACTATGTTGGTCTAGACCCTTTTCCCTTGCCCTGATCACCACTCTGTCCTGAAACAAATCTCAGTAATAGAATAACTCACTACTATTGACTATCACATGTAACTATATGAAAGTAAAGCATAATATATCATCAATAATAGCATATCATATGTATTTCATTTCAAATCATACAATATATGTCAATTCACTCTTTTTCCACTTATTTTTCACTTTCCACCACTTTTTCATATATACAGCATTATCACTAATGACCGAACCTCCAAATCACCCTAACATGAAGCCATAGGCTCACCTTTGACCAATAACACTCTCATTAGCCTTGAGCTCACCTTCAGTAGTAGAATCACTTAGCTAAAGGTGTTCTAATACACTTTTAGACTATGGTTTCCCCTGATATATATAATGGGGTGTCGTTGACAATAACACCATATCACACAGACACTAAGGAGTCAAAATCTCTAACATTACACCTCAATAGGCACTAAGGAGATTATCCCCAACATCGCACCTCAAAAAATACTAAGGAGATACAATTCTCTAATACCTCACCCCGTCGGGCACTAAGGATAATATGCCATAAGGATCATATGCTGTCAGGAACTCTAACTCCTATGATCATGCTTTTTGAACCATTCATAGTTTCCAAATCACCATTTTACTCACATATATACATTTACATATTTCCATATCAAATTACACAATTTCATTACTCGTTTAACCAAAATTTTTTTTTATGCAATAAACATTCAATGCTACAAAACATGCTGAGTTTAAAAAAATTTCATGCACTACATAGCATATTCATACACGATTATAATAAATAGTCAAATAGAGGAAGTTATTCGGCTACGTTAACCCTTCTGTCACTAGAAAGGTTACCCTATAGATTTTAACTATCACTATAGCTCGTTACAAGCTTCCTTTCTCAACTCAAATGTGTGATATGCCAATCTACACACAATTGGCACAATCAGTCATTTGGTCTAAATTGACCAAAACTACTTAATTACTACTTATGGCTACAGTAAGCCATATATTGTTTTCCATTTATCTATTCTAGGTCCATCACACATCACCTCAACTATCTCATTTCACTCAAACATGATTTTCACCCCTATTTTCCTTCAAATTAGGGCAAATTGAGCTTATGGGTTTAAAGCTCTATTGTTCAGCTTTAAACTAGTCGCAAAGCTTTAATCTAACTTCCAATAACCTTTTTATTACTATTGAGTAAGAATCAAACTCCTTAAATTTTATCGATTCCATTTCTCTATAACTCATATTTAAAGAAATTTAGGTAGAATGGAATGTAAGAGTTATACATAGCTTACCTAATAAGTTAATGATCAGAAGTACCTTCCATTACTTCAAAATAGCTTGCCCTAACTAGCCCTTCACTCTTCTCC